ATCCCTGGGTTACACACCCAGGTAATCCTTGCGGAGGACTTCTGCTACCTTTTGAAATCTTTGCCCTCACCCTGTGCCCTATGACACTTTCTTCAGCTGCCTTCCTAATTCTCTGACATGTAATTACCCTCCCACTTTCCTCAGGGCAACACCTCCTGCTCTGGGGACTCTGATACCGGTGTCCCCCTGCGCAAGGCTTCCAGCCTCAGCTGAACTGGCTTGATCTCCATCCTCCACACAGCCTACCAGTCTCACCTGCCTTCACTAGGGAGCACAGGCAGCTGAAAGGCAGCACAGCGGAAGGAGGAGCCACATCTGGATCGAAACCTTAGCTGTGCTGTCTGCAGGACTCTGCAACTCTCTGCTTCCAGATTTTCTTTCATTCTAAAGAACAGAGGGGCTGATGTCTTTATACTTGCCCCCTATGAAAGCCATTGGCTGCCCAGCCACAAATACCGCGATCAGACCTACAGGGTGTCCCCTCCTTTCCCCTTTCACTTGTTCCTTACTTCCTTTACCTATGCTCTCCTTCTTCCCCTCTCATCTCCAAAAGGCTGGAATAAAAGTGCTGCCAAGGGGATATCCCTGTCACAGCAAGAGCCAGCATGCCAGCACCCACCCAGGACCAGTGATCCTGGGCAGGTGTGGGTCTGCAGCATCTGCAAGGTCCTTTCCTTGCACCCCATAGGGGCTGGAGGGACAAAGACACAAACTCTGCAGGGCCAGGCTGGCTCCATGAGCAGGCTGCAGCAGTTCCGTGGTGCCTCTGGGCTTGCCACAGGGCACAGTGCAATCCCTCTCACCTCACCATCTCATCTGTTTCTAGGAAGCTTGGAAATGACACAAGGCACTTCCTCCCCTTTAAACCTTGATGGCTGTCTTCCATTCACAGGTGTCCTCACTTGCTCCATCTGGGACAAAGGTTCTGCCTTCAGGTATACAACAACGTTAGGTATAGAACTTTAGGTGTACAGCAACTTGAAGGGCTACTCTGGCTCATGATTTTGGTAAAAGGCTGACATTTTTCCTTTCAGACAAGGAGTGTCTGTGTCTGTGACCGTGCTAAAACATCCTGAGCTCTCCCAGTGATGCTTCCTTTGACTCCGTCATGGGCCACATAAGCACAGCAACTGTTTGTCATTCTTCTGCTGTGCATTGGATCATTTTAGGCTTTTTATCTGCATTTGATAAAGTGTAGGTCACAAATGGGCAGCTTTTCAGAAGTGTAAACAAATTCATCTTGTAGTTTTTCATATGAGTCATCTCATCTTAGATCTGTTACAAAAAATCCTTATCAGCCTGTTTCACAAAGAACGCTTGATTTGATAGCTACATGACCCGTTTCTGGTGTGTGTTGTTTCAAAGCTCTGTGCTTCTCTTCCTGACTAAAAATGGGTTTGGAAGCAGGGTTCTTATTACTGATTGAGGTAATTTTTATTTTCTATGAAAACAGATACAGGGACAGCCATAGCAGAATAATGGTCCCACTGAGATGAACGCTGGTTTATTTCCCCTTGTAAATAAGTATGGCTAGATTCAATGACAACATGAGCCACTGCAGCCAGTAAGGCCTTAGATCAAGGAAATCTTCCTGGGCATCTTAGCATCTCTCCAGACAAAGTCAGCCTTCATATGTCATTAACTCTTTACTCAGGACACCATGTTAAGGACTGCACAGAGAAACTACAACAGCAGTGGCAACTGATATTCCCAATATTTTACAAGGGTCAGAGTTATTTAACGCCCATGCCCTATGATGAGGGTCACTCATGTCAGACCTGGAAATAGACTTCAAGCTTTCTCATTCTGTAATCCCATTATCACCTGTTCCCCACCTCCACAGCAGCAGGAATCCCTGCCCCTTCTTAGGTTCTCTCCTACATCAGCATCCCTGCTGCCAAAGCTCCGAGACAGGTAAAGTGATGGGAATGTGCAACAGGATCCCCCAGCCTTCCCTTCTCACACATCTGCCCTGTACTTCCTGTCCTGCAATGAGTCCCCTTTCTCACTCAAGCTTCTGTGCTATGCTCTGTACCCAGCATTGCCCATTTCCTGCACATCCTCTCTTGCACATTGCACATCCCCCTTGCCCTTGCCACACTGACCTTCTGCATCATCTCCTCTCCATCATCTGTCTCCTCTCCAGACTCATTTTTTCCAACATCTACCCCCTCCTCTTTGTTTTGGACGTAATCAAGGCTGAGTTGATGGTGTGATGTTAGCCACAAAGGATAATCTGGTCATTTAATCAATTTAATATGGACACAGCAGACCGGCTTTAAGTCATGTTAACTGGATCAAGTTAGAATCTAAGAGGTGTACACTGACTCCTAATTGAAGCCATAAATCTGTGTTTCTTTGTGTACCTCTCAGTTTTTATCGGTTTCTGACATGCTTTCCAGAAGTCTCTCGGGTTTTTTTCTGGCCATCATCTTTTGGAACCTGTCTCTTTTTTCCTCCCTTTCTGCCCCAAAGAGGATCCTTTACACAATGTCTTCATCACCCTAAACAGGACACAAGTCTTGCTTTTCCCTTCAGACTCAACTACTCACAAGGTATTTTTTAACCCACTCTCAGGTGAATCACATGGCTTTTCTCATTTAGCTGCTTTCCCTTTGCATGTGTTTAATATGTACTTTCTTCTCACTATAGGTTTATTGTCCCTGCCTCTAATTCAAAGACAATATTTTTTTAATAGAAGAACAAAGAACTTATTTTCTATCTTAGATATGGATAAGGTGAGGCCAAGAGCCAGGAGGACCGTGCTGATCGTACAGGGAAGCAGAGAGGGCACAGAGACTAGAATACAAGGCTGGAATGAAAGCATGAATGCAAAAGGTTACAGATAGGGCTGAATAACAGCTAACATCAGGAACAATGAGGAGGCCTGATCCCACCTTCCCAGGGCTGCCTGTGGTATCCAGGACAAGGCAAGTGGTAGCAAAATCTGGATTGCGTAATGGGAGCCAACCTATTCCAGCACTCCCCTCCATCGGCCAGAGCCCGGGGACACCAAACAGGGAGGGCTGTGGTGAGGACAGGGCGCTCCCTCCTGCCCTGCAAGACAAGGGAACCACCATGATTGACAAACCTGTCTCTGTTAGCTGAACCACAGCATTCTCGTCTGAGGTTGAAGATGGCTGAATTATTGAATCACAGACTCACAGAATGCTTTGGGGTGGAAAGCACATTAAAACTCACCCAGTTCCAACCCCCTGCCATGGGCAGGGACACCTTCCACTAGACCAGGTTGCTCTAAGCCCTGTCCAACCTGGCCTTGAGCACTGCCAGGGGTGGGGTGGCCACATACTGGGGAACTTTAGCTAAAGTCTAGATACTTATTTTGTGTTACTCATTCAACTTTAAGATCAATTAGTCTTTTACATCTTTAAATGCACACTAATACACTGCAACACTCTTGTCTCCTTATGACACCTAACCATTTCCTCCACTGGACTGGCTTTTCTTTCCTTGATGCTGTTAAAAAGAGGATACAAGCTACAAGAAAATGATAAACAGGAAGCCTTAAAAGGCCAGACCACTTACAAAACAACACGTAGGCACACGTATCCATAATGCATTGTGGATAACGCAAAATAGCATGACAAAGTTTATTTAGCTGTATCCTTTTGCACTTAAAGAAATACTGATGTATGATCTTGTTTTAACAGGCATGAAGAGCTTGGCCTGCTCTCCAGATGTGCACAGATCTGTAAAATTTCCTAGAGCTTTTCTGTTGACAATACAATATAGAAAACACTATTATTTGGCTACAGCAGGGCTCTCGCTGTTTTGTTGCAGAGGATCTGCAATGAACGTCATGTCTGTGGCATGTGTATTGAAGTTTCCTGATTTCCTTCCTGTGCCCTAGGACTGCTGGCTTACAGCCAAGTCTCATTTTTCCTAAGGTTCCCCAGCTCTAGATCTTTTTGCAATTTAAAATTCCCTTTGTCTTGGTTTTAATTCCAAGTTTTAGATAGGTTCCCTGGGGTACTTAAATCCTAGCAAGCATTCCTTCCAACACACATTTACTCCCCAAGCCTTCCATCTGCACCCCACTCTCTGATGCTCATCATGGAGCTTCCCAGCTGCCCTCCCAGTCATTCCACGCACTGCCTCTCCTCGCCCCAGCTCTCCCACCCACTCCCTGTTTTCCTTTCTCCGTTTCCCTCACCAGTCTCCCTTCCTTTCTCCTCCTTTCCTCCTTCCTTTCTCTTCCTTTTCGTGTTCCCTGAATGACTCTGAGGCTGCCAGGACTAGGCAGATGAGCTGGCCCCTGTCTCTTGAACTAGCTAACTTAGCCGAATTATTAGCTACATGAGCTGTGTGCGTTACAGTGAAGCCCTCTTTCCAAGCTCCCCTCTGCCATTCCTGGAAAAGAGGGCCACTTTTAGGGATTCAGTTTCCAGCTGTCTGACGCTGTGAGCCCAGCCAGAGCAAACGGGAGGTGTTCGGGAGCACCCGAACAGTTATTTATGATGTAAAAATGCGCCTGTTGCCCCTGGAAACCGGCTCTCCCGCTCGTCTCAGGGGTTGCTAAGCGATGCGCTTGTGCCTGGGGGCAGGGGGCTAAAGATGCGGCAGCACTTCTCTTAGGAGGAACCTGTTGCAAAATGGAAGGGCAGGGACAGGCAGGACCGCTGCCGCTTCGTGAGAGCGGCTACGGAGGGGATGGCTGACTTATCGCAATGTTTAACTGACAGCTATGCAGCCCTGCACCCCTGGCTCCTCGGGGCTCTCCCGAAGCCTGCTCGCGTACCTCAACGCCTGTCCTGAGTTCACCCTTAGCTATTTTTGTTTCTGGGTCACCGAGAACACATCTGCAATAGTCAGCAGCAGCTGACTGCAGAGCGGGTTGGCGCATCCATGCTCCTCTTCATCGGGAGCACACGCCACATCACACAGCAGCGCTCCGCCACTGCCCCCAGCTGCACATACCCCACCATCTGCGTGCCTGGTGACGACAAAATCACGCCGGCTTGTTTTGTTCTCTTTATCCTTTCCTTTTTGGTAGGCAGGCTGTGCAGACGCCCCTGCAAACCTGCCAGGCAGGGAAGCAGTAGGAATTGAGCAGTCGCTGCAGAATCCTGCCGCGCTCAGACGGATTTCTGTTGCCATCTGGTGGCAACCGAAGAGCACCTAGAAATGGAGAATAAACGTCGAGATCTGCGCCTCCGCTACTAAGTCAGGCTCGTTTTCCTCCATTTATTCCACAGGCGTTTACTCTGGCCACATCACAATTCCGTCACTGTAGAAGGGAGCGAGGGAGACCGTTAATGATACTAGATTATTTAATTATTTATTATTTAATCCAGTCTAGATTCCAGATCATTCCTTGCATGGCAAGCTTTCTCCATGGTTTTCAAGTCAACACGAGCAGTTTTCTTGACTGTTCCATGTGCTGTAGTCAAGACTCTGTCCTAGCCTCTGAAGCCTGCAGTTTAGCTCACCCTAAATTAGAGATCCTCACTCTAGCCCCAAGAGCCACTGAATGAATCATCCACAGTGGGTCAGTTAATGAGCATAAAATTACCAACCTCGCCTGCCTGTTGCAGAAATCACCTTAAAGGATTGCACCCCTATTTACCAATGCACATACACACCACCAGCCAGCCTCAGATTCCCTCTCTAGCCAAGGGACCCATCACTGGCTTAGGGGCAGAGGCCTCATGGAAGACAGAGATCTCAGATGGTATGCCCCGGCACATTCCTTTCATGGGCACTACTGCAGCTTCTGCTGAAGCCCGGCTTAAACTGCAGCGCAAGAGTTTCTGCAGGTAGCCACAAATTCACCCTCTTGTCATCACTTTATCCTCTGGCAGAGAATTATTCCCTTCCCATTTAAGAAGGGCACCAAACCCAAAGACTGCATGGACAATTCAGAAGCAGGGCGTCCTGATGCCATTTGACTGTAGTCCTTTGGTTTTTGTTCTCATTTACACTTAGCTCTTTTTTGGAGCCCTAACTTTGTGTCTTCCTCCATGCCACCCTTGCTCTTGCCCCCGTTCCCTGCGCCAGCCTGCTGGAACTACCCAACCTCGTTCATGACCATCTTGCACAAACTCCAGCAAACTGCCTTTACCAGTCAGGCACGCAGTCCCCTGTGAATTTCCAAGTCTGGTGTTCCCAGAGGCAGGGATGACTCATGACATTTTGTCACACCCAGTAACGCAGATGATGAAATCCCAGGAGCAGCCGGCCACACTCCAGCTCCATGTGGATGTCGGTGCTCCTGACTCCTGCCTCTTAGGCCAGAAGCAGGTCTTTATTCACTCCAAACTATTTTGTGACAGTGATTATTTGGTTACACAACCACACTAGTAAATGAAACAGTGGCTGGAAGTGATCCCCAGCACTGAAATATGATATTTAAAGTTTTATTGTCAGCCAACTAGCAGTCTTCCAAACAGTTCTGTGCATGGTTCAGGAGTAAGCACATGGCAAGGAACGGTCCAGAAGTCAGTCTGCATGCAGCCAGCCTGTGCTGGTGGGCAAGAAAGTTTAACAGCATGGCTACTCCGTGCCTGTTAGCCTCAGAACCAGGGAAGAGTTCTGTTTAATTGAGTACCACAGAGTCAGCCTTTCTCTCTGAGCGGGCACTGAGCCAATTTATAGACACTTTGTTCACTTTTCATACTTCCCAATTACTTTAGGCTCTCTGCATGGTACCAAAATCATCTGGGGCAGGGATTAATGCAGATTAGGTCCAAAGTTATCTTTCATTGGCGTGTCACGTAATGCTCGATTCACCATGATGGCAGAGACAAGTTTACTGATTTTGTTTGTCTGCTTTGGGCTTTGTTTGTTTGGTTTGGTTTTGGTTTAAACTGCATTGCCTTTTTGCATTGCTCTGCCACAGAGCTGTGCTTTACCACACGACTCCCATTGATTAGATTCCAGTCACAAAGACTCCAATCAGAGCCAAAGCCAATGCTGGTTTGAAACAAAGCCAGGTTACTCTGAACACTAACACAGGATTCATGTATTCCCAGAGCTTCATCTTCAGATCCCCATGTTCTTTCTGAGCTGGAAAGGACAGCTCACTTAAATCTTGTGCTGCCTATCAAGAACTGAACAGGAGTGCTGGGAAATACAAGTACTTCTTTCATTGTATTCCTGAGCTACTGGCTTGCATGTGTAAGATACCACTACAAAGCTACAGTTGGGGAAGCATAGACTTTCTAAACCCAATAGGAAGCAAATGCTAAGTCTTCCAGGCCAGAACCAGTCATTTTGAGTATATGGCTCCTCATCTTGCTGACAGTAATTCTTCCAGGGGCTGCAGGCTAACTCAGCTCTGAATATTTTGCATCATCACCAAGTACATGTCATAACTGCAGCAGTGCCATTTTAAGCAACCCAGAGCAGAACTGCTGGCTCATACTATTCTTAAGAAGGGCTAAGGACAATTCACATTAAGATTTCAAAGCTTACAGATTGAACCAAGCCTACTGGTGTTCAGGGACTCTGCAAGCGTTTACTACTAATTTGTTATCAAGTAATCTCTCTCCCTCACACAGACTCCTTAAGCAGAAGACAGTATTTCAGGACAGCAGCCATTTGAAAATCCTTTGAAAAACCTTACAAGAGCCTTTGAAAATAGTTCTTTTCCCTTCTATTCATCCTTTGTCTTCTCAGATATTTGAGTCAAAAATATTTTGATTACGCACAGGAATGCAGTTATCCCAGTTCCCTCCCTGGACAGGTCATCTGATGCTGTCTGTCCCTATAAACCAACAACTTCAAAACACAATTAGCAATACTGTCACAAAGTCCTTCAAGTAATTAAGACCATTTCTGGCCAATGGTAACATTACTTGAAGGACTATGTTGTGGTTTCCAGCATGGACTGATCAAAAACCTTTGACAGTTCAGGGAAGAAACTGAATTAAGTTCGGTGGCTGTTTCCTTTTCCTGTTTCCACTCTACCACCTTAGGCTGAGTGGAAGTATAGGACAGCAAATGGCTATGAAAAGAAACATAGGTCAACTCCCTTCTTCAGCTCTGTACCTTCATTTTAAACTGAGTTATGTTTCAGTGTGACTCATACACCTTTGAGACATCATTCACTACAGTCTCTCCTGGGCATCAGTCACCTACCAGATAATTTGGTGTCCTCAGCCAGGATGCTCCACCTCACAGCATCTCAACAGCTTTAGGAGCATAACCCTAAGAAATACCCCTGTCCCAACTATACTGCCATTGAGAACAGCACAAGATACTTGTGGGAGCTTTCTGAAAGCTAGTGAAGTATTTGGCTCTACCACTTCCTTCGGCAATGAATTTACCAGTGTAATGTCATGATCTGGAAAAGCGTTTCCTCATTTTCACTCCCCCGTTTCATTGAATGGTCCCTTGTTCTCAGATTGTGATACAGGAAGAACAGAAGCTCCAAGACTACTTTTTCTACTCCAGCAATTACTTTATAAATTATCTGTCCACTTTCATATCTCTCCTTTTCAAAACAGCAATCTCAGTTTTTCCAGTTCCTCTCTCTGAGTCCTTACATGCATTAATAGCTCATGTCATCATTTCCTGAAGTCTCCTCTTTAAGGGCAGACATCCATGTTCTCCCTGGAGCATTCAGGTAAGATTGTCCACACCATGGACATCACACAATGTGCGATGAAATCTCATGTCTATGATTGATGTAGAGTTAATTTAAACCCCAGGAGTAACATCAGCCCTTGCCATTGCACTGTTGATACAGAATTTCAGTTACTGTGTGCTGTTCACATGCCTTCCCTGTTTAGGTCTGCCCAAAGTACTCCAGAAACCTCTCTAATACAGTTACTCTGAGTACCTTTGTTTTCTGTAGAGGTTGTTGCTTTGCTGTTCACTTTTTTTCCTCTTACCAGATGAACAACAAAGAAACACAACACAGGACACATGATAAATCCCTAAGAGATTCTGCTTTTAACCTTTTGCCATGAAAATTAATTGCTCAGTTCCACCCTTTGCTTGCTGCTTATAGGACACCTCTTGTTTAAAACCAGTTCTCATCTTACACTGTGCTGCTTAATGCTTGAAATTCTTACACAGTTTTTGTTTGCACAGTTTAGGGGAAGCCAATTTTGAAAGTCCCTACTTAGTTCTGATTTTTTTTTTCCTACTGTTCAGCCTGACTTGGGCCACTTTATACATATTCAGTCTTAAAGTAGTAGCATCCTTCCAATTAAAAGCTCCTTTCCCTACCTGTTGCTTACCACCAGGTGTGTTTCTGGCCAGATCCCCTCTCAGTCTCCGTTTTCCTAGGCAAAGCTTTTAAGACCAAAGTTCTGGTGATAGTGTCTTCATTCTCTAGAAAGTCCTAGAGGCCATTCTTACATCTGTTTCACTTTGAACTAATTATTACTGAGAATGAATGATCAGAATTCCTAACAATATTCTATACAAGATTTTTAAAATAGAAAATGCTCTTGATACTTTCCTGGATCCCATTTACCTTTTAGCAGTTCATTGTGTGTGACCAGCTAATGCTCAAAGATCCTTTTCCTCCTTCTCTTTCATTTCCAGGAACTGAGTTCCCAGAGGGAATAAATAAATAAATGAATGTATGTTAGTCCCTATATTCATGGCACTAAATTCTGCATACCTGAATCTCATCCAAGATTTCATTTCATCCAAATCTCAGAGGTCTTTCAGTATTCATTTATAATATCCTATCATTCTGTCCTTGTGCCATGAGCAAATTTCATCCAAATGCTCTTTTTATTTATGCCAAGGCCATGAATTCAAATATGAAGCAATATAAGGCCCCAAAGTGACCTACATTAGTAATCGCTTTTCCCTGTCAGGATTCTGCCTTTGTGGAGCAGCCTCAAATGCCTTTAAAACTCTACATATATCAGATTAAATGTTTCTCTTTTATTAACTTCTTTATTGACACATCCAGAAAACTGAGGAGGGGATTTATGAGATACTCGTTGCTTAAATAATTCATCTTGGTTATCATAGTCTTCCAGGTGCTTTGACACATTTTTAATTACCATTCTGACCAGCTTTCAAGAAACAGATAAAAACTTCACTATTCTATTTCCCTGCTTCATCCCTAGCACCTTTTATTTAATTGCAGTTACAGTCCATACTGTCTCTCTTGATGCTCTGGTACCATGACATCTTTCTCTGAGAAACCACATATTTCCAAACCCAAGAATGCAGGTGCCCAACTACTTCTCACTTGAAGTTCTCTGGAATTCTTGGAGGTATGCCATATTATGGTTTAAATTATTAGTTTGGTCCAACATTTCTCCTTAGGAGAGCTCAATCTCAAAAAGCTGCTTCATTGTAAAAACCAGATTGTTCACAGGATAAGAATATAAAAGCCTCCTACACCCTCAAACCTGAAGGTAGCTATGAAAATGCAAACTCTTTCTTCATTGTTCCCTTAACCTCCCTTGATTCCAACACATCCAGTAACTCTTTCACAGCCGTCCTGGACTTTCATTTATACTTTCCATCAATTTCATTGTTTGCTCTGTGACTTCCCATTCTAGCTTCCCTCCTAATTATTACATGCTGCAAATTCAAGATTCTGCCTACTGTAAATTTTGAAGAACCTCTTGCCTGACTCCCAGCTTCTCAGAAATTATAACTGAAGTCACATGGGCATCCTAGTTTTCTTTTGATCCTCAGGAATGCTTGTCATCTGAGACTATTATTGCTGATATCATAGGTATCTGCAGCACTTCTAAGGATTTTAATATTTTACTATTAACTCTGATGTCTACTTCTCAGTCAGAATGCAACAGCATGAACTGCTCATTAGTTTGAGCTACTGCGATCAAACCTTACATCCTGTCTGCACTTTCATAGCATCAGCTTTTGAAGTGGTAGACAGCCTGCTAATCAGACTTTTGTGTGTCAGTGTCTGCCAAGTGTAGTGGCTCTTTGAAAAGCAAGTTGAGATGGTTCTACATTTACCGTCTCACGGCAACTTCTATCCTCACTTAAGGAAGGCAGAGCTTTCCTTGCTGTCAGCCCTGGGATGTGACCACAGCTTTTCTCTCCTGGCACCATTGCCTAATATGAAGACCCAAACTCTGAAGCAGAACCCAGGGGTTTCCTTTAAGGACAGTTACTAATTGATCCCGTGTTTTTTTCACTATGACTATCTGAAACTTAGAATACAATTTTGTCAATTCGGTACAGAAAGAAGCAATATCCAGCTTCCTCTCTTACAGCTATTCTTTTAATTCTGCAGGGTTAACAGGCAAGGAAAGCAGTAAAAATCATCTCAGCCCGCCAAGCCAGAAGGTCAGAATGCACCTAAGCATCTTAACTGCTGAGTAAGAAGGTACCTTTTCGCATACAGCTTTTTAGCAGGGAATCACTAAAAACCATGCTCCACTGTTTTTTGTATTCATTGAACCTGTCTAACATAACATGTAAGAGTGCCTCTGAGCTGTTGGGCCTTAGAATCTGACATTGATTATAATTTTGTCTAACTACTGAAACATCTTATTTGTAAGTACTTCATAATCCTTAACATAGGAATACTACATAAACCTTCTGAGTTAGGAAAGTTCAGTTATCACAAAAATAATTTTCTCATGGAAAACTTTTTAGATGTTTTACACTGAAAGAAAACCAGCGTGAACTGAAAATGCACTTAGAACAAATTCACTTCTTTTACTGACATCCCCTTCTCTGCCCAAGAAAGCTCCTTTGTTTCATCCAAGTCTGCTAGAATAAAGCACAGCAGAACAGGCCACAGAAAACACTTCAGAAGACCTCAAAGCACTGGGCAGCCAGGAATCCCATCCCCAGCTGTCCCCTGCTCTCTAGCCTTATAAGCACCAAAATCACACAGAAGTCTGCATTTAAGTATGATTTCCATCACCTCTGACTTCACACTCCAAACTTTTCAGCTTGAATGGAAGCTCCAGAACAAGATTCCTGTGTCTGATTTTCCCCCACTAGTCTAGAAAATATCGCTCATGGGGCCTATTCAGAGCACATCTCAGCCACAAGGAACCCATAGGAAAGGACGGGCAGACCAAGCATGTCATGGTTAAAACATTTTCCCCAGCTTGTGGGAGATGTGGATCCCAAATCCTGCTCCCCACGTTGCTTTCTATCAGAGATACCACAGTCTGAACATGCAATTAAATATTTTCCTGTAAGTATTTGTCATTTTGCATCTCCCTGGTATCTCACATATACTGATTGAATGTCATGAAGACAGGAGTTTATAATCCACCTATTTTTGTCTCCATTAATATTTAATCATTCACACAAAGAGTTTCAAGAAAAAAAAAGGCTTAAAGAAGCAACTGCCTCCAACTATACAAAGCTGGTAACAAGCATTTACCTACAATATGCTAGAACATCTCTTTCAAATAGGGCATTCAACCTTGGGCAGATGCAGAAGGAGCAGCCTCCTTCTGCTCATGATCCTTGGGAATGAGCCCCACTCTGCTCTGGTACTTATCTACAGCCACTACACCTGTCTGAAAGACTGAGGGTGAAGCAGGTGCCAGATTTAAACATTTGCTATAGAGCTACAGTAAGAATAAAAGTCCATTGCAGAGATATAAAAAAACAAGAACTCCTGTAGAGTTCACGAAAATAAGAGACCAAACACAGGAGAAAGACTTTATTTTTGTCCTTGCAGAGGGAAGGTCACAGTACACACTAGATTTAAAAGGCGTAAGAGAACCAGAATGAAAAGAGACATTACAAATTAGGGGGAAAGCATCAGTTAGAACTTGTGCTTTATCAATCATCAAAGAATCCAACTGTGAGACCAAAACTGATAAGCAACCAGGCTTTGTTAGTTCTGTAATTCACACAACTGCTTCAAAGCACATTAAAGTGCAGCAGTAGTCTGAAAAATTACTACCGCAACCAAGCCGATGGCTTGGAGCCTACACAGTCAGGCCTGGAAGGCACAAAGACCAAACCATCAGTCACTGAGAAATGGAGACTAGGTCTCCCCTCCTTTTGCAAAAGAGTTTCTGTATGGAAATTCCTATTAACGTCCTGCCTTAGGCTTCTGCAGGCTTCAGGGAAAGCCTCCTATAGTTGCAGGTCCTTCTTGAAAGCAGGGCTGGGCCCACGGCAGAGACAAGATAGTCCATGTAAAACTGCTTCTGTGGGTGGTGACAGAGAAGGGCTTCTGTATACCTGAAGCATTCCACTATCTTTCCCAGCGACTGACACCTCTGAAGCAGGGATGACTTTTTATTTTTTCATGTAACCTGGCACAGGTACATTTGCACACTCCTTTAGCAGTCACAGTTGCAACTGAACACACTCTGAGCTCGAGTGGACCCTAGGTGGGGAAAGGATACACTTCACCCTGTGAATTCAGCCACAGCTGCTGCGCAAATGTCTCAAATCAAATTCAGTGGCTCCTTTTACTCCCATTTACAGCGGCACGACCGCCAAGTATGACAGCAAGAGGGATACTACGCTCCCCTGCGTTACCACCACCACACACCCAAGGGCTGCACGCTATGCTTGAACCGAGCACGCCAATGCCTGGCGCTGGGCACAGTCCCGCTCCACCCGCAAACGTAACGGACGCTGCGTGAAACTGCAGGAGACAACACGCAGACACCTTCTGCCATTTTACACGCGCGCTCCCCACATGTAGGGAGGAACCGGCTACGAGGCGACTCCGAAGCGAAGCAGCCCTGCGCCGCTGCGACATGACATGCGCGGCTGCAAGCCACGGCCCGACACCGCCATCCCGGCCGCGCATGCGCTGGCGCCAGCCGAAGGACACGGACACCCGGCGTGGGCCGCGGCGCTCTCCGGAAGCCGTCGGCCCCGGACAGGAAGTGACTGGTGCGCAGTGACAAACAGCCCCGCCGCGGGGGCCCGCGGCCCGCGCTCCGCTCCAGCCGGCCGCGCGGCCCTTTATGACTCATCTGACTGACACGCTGGGGGTGACCAATGGGAGCTGCTCCTCCCTTCCCTCTGGCCCGCCTTCTCTCAGGCAGAGGCCAATCAGAAGGACGAATTCTCCCCCGCCGCCGTCGCCCTTTGATGGACGTTTGCAAGAGCCAACCCAGCAGCGGGCTGCGGGACACCCCTGCCCCCGTTTCCCGCCAATGAGCGCTGTAGAACGAAGGAGCTAGCGGACCCCGCCAGCTGCCCCCGTCCCAGCACACCAGCCGCCGCTCTTGCCCCTCTGCCCGTGGGAGCCGTGCTCCCTGTCCCGTGGGCCGGGACAGGCTCGGCGGCGCGTCCCCGCAGCGCCTGGGCTCCCCGCCACACGTTCTCAGGCTGGATGCGACACGGGGCGGGGAGGAGCCGCCCGGGCGCTGCGTGCGGGGGCTCCTCGCGCTCTTAAGGTGGCCCCATGCCCTTTCTGGCGGCCCGGCCGCGGCGGGAGGGACAGCAGCTTGTGGGGCGCCCGCGCCGCCGGCGGGAGCGGCTGGCCTGGGGCAGGGTCAAGAAACGAATCCTCATACGGTAGCGGCGGCCACATTGCTTCAGGCGGCAACCGCCTGGAGGGAGGGCGGCGCAGGGGGTGCTCGGTGGCTTCACTGTCCCAGCAGGCTTCCGGGGCAGGGGGTGGCCCGGGGAGAGCGACCCGCTTTGACGTTCGCTTGAGAGGGCCGGGAGGAAGAGGAGGTCTGTGCTGGGTTAATGTTGCGGGAGATAAGAGCCTGTCACATGAGCCTGGGTGCTGTGGAGACCGGGCGCAATCACACCGAGGGGAAGGCAGCTGGAGAACAAGTGTCTGCCGTCACAGGTGTCCGAGGCCGGGCCACCAAGCACGTCGTGCCCGAACTCCCGTACCGAGCAGGCCCGGGTGGTGTGATAGAGATGAAGGGTACACATGCTTGCTTGTAGTCAGTCTAAACCTGTGTTCTGAGAGCCTGCCTTTAACTACGAGTTTCAGCCTCCTGATCATTGCATGGGGCTACCCTGAAAAGGGGGCAGATAGGTCATTTCCTTACAGTACACTGATAAATGATTCAGGGAACATAACATGAGCAACTAAATTTGTATATAAACACAAACATATAAAGGAAAGATTTTGCTGGTTAAAAAGAGATCTTGGAAAAAAAGCCACAAACCAACCACCAAACCCTGCTCAAGGAGAAAAACACATTAGAATACTTGTATGTTACTGAGATTACTGTGGTGCCTGTTTACTACTAATTACAAATGGAACAGTTCTTCAGCTAGGAAGTGAACGCCTTCCCAAATACCATCAGTTTCAATGTCAAATAGACAAGTACTAAGAATTCAGTCATGCACAAATCCAATGGCATCCTGAGAAACTGAGAAGAATAAAATGCATTGAAACTAATATAAAAAGTTATGTGGTGACTAGTTTACTTTTTTCCCCATGTCTCCATCTGCTATTCTCTATCTTATTCTTGGCTTGCAAAGGCTTTGGGATTAGGTTCTCTGAATGCTAAATATGATAATGGATCGTGAGCCATCCACGTGTGTATTTCTGCAGTACTGATTCTTTGACTTGCCTCCGTATGTCTTCTTGTGGTTGTTGGATGGCATTTTTGTATTTACATTCTTTCAAGTAGTGGAATAAATTAGTTAGATCATATATTCATTTGGGAGAGAGAATCCTGAAAACCAAAAGGAAAAATAAATAGGGAACACACATTGGATGCCTGGCACATGCCAAATCCAACCACAGTTTTCTAACACCTCTGCAGTTGGCTATAGATCAAAGAAGTCACAGATGCCACCCATCAGTGCCTTCCAGCACAATGATTCTTCTGCCTTGTCTGTCAGTAGAGTTAAGAGAAACCTGTGCACAGTACGGACACAAATCCTAGCTAGAGAGGAACTGGAAAGCTTGGTGTGTGAATAGCAGGGAGGCCCAAAGACCACCTAGCCCAAACAGAAGTCAAAGGAGTGGCAGAAGGCCAAGAGAACTGGAGCTGAGATGTTTATTCAGGACTGGAAGGAGGTTCAGAGAAAGGACAGAATAGCACACAGCTCTGATGTGAATGTGTGAGGGAGTGAGATGGTTGTTGGCCCTTGGTAATGATTAGGAACACTATAATGGGATCTGCAATGAGATAATATGAATAATATGGGAAAAGGGGCAGAAACCCCTCCTTGACAGAACAGGTAATAGCATAAGAAGAGCTACGGACAGAGCTGCTAGCATAGAAGCAGAGAAAGGTTTGGTGTAGAAGAAGAGAACATAGCATCCAGAGAGATTGGAGATTGAGGTGCATTCTTGTGACTTCTTGAAATAAAGGCATGGGACACTGGTACAGCTTTTGACCTGTTGAAGGAACGCAAATGTGAAACAAACTACCCACTGAAAGAAGAGATTAGGGTGGTTTTGAGATAGCTTGGGGTAGGACCCCTACGAGAGGGTGTTTCATGGTAATGCATTTTGAATTTCCGTGTAAAAGTGGCCTGCCTACAACACTGGCCTCATGTAGGGGGATCTCAGGCAGTGCCTGTTCCTTCTTACACACACATTTTGGAGCATTCGATCTATTTATTTTACTTCACTGGAGAGAACCTTTTAATGTTGTAAAATGATGGTTGCCTTGGTCTGTCCCTAAGATCAGCCTTGAAACATACCAAGAGGAGACTCCCAGTTTTTAGCCAACTGGGTAACAGTGGAACAATTAATATGGGTTTTGGTATGGTTTTACCTGGTTGTAACATATCTGAGAGGTAGCAATGGGTTGTGATGGAAACACCTCCCAAGATCCGGGATGTTACTTCCGTACTTTATTGGCAAATACAAAGAGTGAAC